AACTTGACCCAGGTAACAAGCTGACGTCATTTTTTGTACCGGGTGACACGTTATAAAGTACCACCCTCTATAACTTTATTAATTTTGACAGTAGAAAAAATTTTTAAAAATTGTCTTACAGGGGTTTTTTTCCTCATCGAATCAACTGATATATTTATAGTATCTCAGAAAATATGAATAAAATTGACAGAGATTCATAGAAATCAAAGACTGAATTTTTGCAATTTGATGTTGAATAGATTGAATAATGATGAAAATGTTAATTTCCGGAAATTAAATCAATATAACAGTTCTGACTTTGAGCGATTTCTTACTGACAATGAGTATTGAATATCATAACGATATATTAATTACCGAGATCAATTGTCACAGCATACTCTCAAAAATCATTTGAGGATCGACAAACCCTATTTTTTTAGGATAGAGTGTCCATGTTATGAGAAATACTGAAGATGAATGTATTGAATGGGTTATTTTCGGAAAGGTCTTCGAAAGGTCTATCTAATGGCGCGAAAATATATAGGGCGTTCCATTTAAAATGTTTACACTTTTTCTTGCTCTCTGTATATCCTCTGAGATACTAAAAATGTATCAGTTGATTCGATGAGGAGAAAAAATCCCCTGTAAAGCTGTTTCTTCAATTTTTTCCTACTGTCAAAAATAATTAAGGTATAGGGGGTGGTACTTTATATCGTGTCAACTGGTACGTTGTCCCATGACGTGATTTTGACATACTGAATAGAACGTCAATTTGTTAGACAGGATCGTTTGTGGGATACGTTTTGTAATAATTCAACTTTTTTACTTTTCAGTGATTTTAAAAAAGTTATTTGAAAAAGTTTCGTTATTTTAACGAGTTCTATACACAGCTGAAAAAAGTTAGCTACTTATAGGAATCACTCTGTATATGTACAAACAAAATATGTTTCAATACTGAATATAAAGTACAACACATTATGCGTTATTTTAGCTCTTTCAAATTTCAATAATAGTTTTTTTGCCCCGATACAAATTCAAAACGACGCAATACCCATAACTGCTGTATTATTGGTCTATACAAACACAAAGCCGAACATTACCCAAACCAACCCGAGCCCGATATGCGACTGAGATCCTCCAAGAAGCAACTACACACAGGACGCATCAAATCTTTTCGCACGGTTCGCTTGAGGTGAGCCTATTTTGTTGTGTACCCACATAATAGTATAGGAGCCTATTTTGTTGTGTACCCACATAATAGTATAGGAGCCTATTTTGTTGTGTACCCACATAATAGTATAGGAGAGCCGGCTGGAAATTTCGACTCTCAGCTGATAACGAAATGTTATATCGATACCCGAGTTCAATAGTGAAACAACTCAAAAATCTTAGTTTCGTTAAAATCGCAATTGAAAATTCAAGTCATAATAATTTGAATCTAAATTTGTAGATTATGTCTCAAGAATATGAAATGGTAGCCCTGCCATAGTAGTTTTTTAGTCACTCTGTACGTATTCCATCTTCAATATTATATTAGCCAATGCTGGCTTCCCGATCACAGATGGCACTACTATCATATAAGATCCCGTTTTGGCAACATCATTAAGTATATTTTGCATCAAAAGGGGACAAGCCACCGTTAAAATCAACATGGCGTCGAAGGATCCACGTGATTGTGGCAGAAAATTAGACTTTTTTTTAGTTTTGTGATGAAAACAATGAACCAGATCCTATTTTGACGTTGTCATTATATACGGTGGCTCGGTGACATATTTCCTTTTCATGCAATAAATCATTTTAACCCTTTCAATTATTGGCATATATAAAAAGGATAAAGCTACATTCATTTTTTCAAAAGAACATCTTTCAATAGGAATGTGTGTTCACCAACAAAAATTATCCTCAGTTTCGAAAAATAACAAGTTGAATGGATTTCACGATTCGATAATAGGGAAAAACATGCGATTTCTCCGAATCTACAATGTGTGTCTTATCTCCATCTGGTCCCAAGGTCTCCAATTGGAAACAAAAATTGTGGAGGCATTTACAGTCAATGCCGATAGTGATTCGCTATTTTTATGATAATTTTTTCCAGGATGGCCGTGAGGGAAGCTCTCGGCCGGAAATTTTTCGTATAGACTTGCTTCCGCCAATGAAAATATTTGATGCGTCCTGTCTCTAGACGCTAGTAAATCCGCCAACCAACTGCACCAGATTAGATCGATCGTGTGGACGTGAATTGGACGTGTGTCGTGTGTCACAACACCCAACGGCAAACATACTTGGTGTACATCAACGAATCGGAAATCGATGCCACAACATGTATAAATCAAGGACTTTCAATAACGTAGTAAGTTCCATTACGCTTTTTCTGCTGAAAGTTAGATGTGTGCTAATATTAATAAGGTATAGGTATTTTGTGATCTTGTAATATAATGTATGAATCGTAGGTATCCATAGTAGCTATCACATCATTGTTTAGTTAGAGGACAGCATGTGTGTATATCAATAATTAGTGTATCATGGCCACCATTGATAGATTCTAGTAATTTATGCAACTATCATTTATTGATAGCCATTACATGATCGTTAGATATACTATTCTTTTTACGCTCAATATATAAATTATGTGAACCAAAATTCATTTTCCTCTCATTGATATTTGAAAATATTCCAACATCATCAGTGCATGAATTGCCTGTAGATACTCTTGGCGCGTTGTTACTTGATGTCATTTGAAATTAAATTTCAAAAAACTCAAGCATGTGAGATAGAAACATAGACCCTCTTGATTATACAAGTACGAAGTACGTCTTTCGTTAGGCCGAAAATTCGTTTCACAATGAAAAGTACGTCTCTTTCAAGAAATGGGTAGCAGATATTTGATTCGCGTATAATAAAGGAGTAGAATATGGTCATATTTTTCATTCAGCTGCAGTGTGTTCTCTGATAATTTTTGAATTTGGTGAAAAACGAATAGGAAACAATATTCCACTTGCACTATCATTGAGAAAAGTGCCATTTAGACGGAACAACCTGTATAGTTGTTGCCGGGGAAAATGTCATGAGAAATTCATCCTGCAAACACCCCACAACAGTAGATAAGCGTATTAAAACAACATGCGAGAAAATAATTATATTGAATTTCCTGTCAAATATATGAATGATGTCCATTGAAATTATATTTTGATTTCTATCGAATAATGCGACCGAACCTTCAAGAAATTATTTATTAAAATATATTTGTGAGTCAAAGTGAAACAAAAATAGAGAATAAGTAACGATGATTTATTTTTTTCATATTCCACACATCGGCAGGTATTTAGCAGAGCAACAATAAACTGCAAATTATTATTTTTTTAGACTTACCATACACTTATTCATCAGATGCGGCTATCGTTCATTGAGGATATGAAAATATGGAGAATTGTTGATTCAAAGCAAAATGGCGACCGACTTTTCTTACAACCATCTGGTTTCTTCTCAGAGAAAATATGATATACCTACCTAATGATATATTTTCATGCGTATTTTCAATACAAATTGTCACTGACAAGCTAGTGAATTTTTCTTTTAGGCTCTCTGATAGGAAAATTCTTTAAACGCAGTGACATTTTGGGGCAAATTATCTGATTTGTCCTTACTACACGTATATTGAAATCGTATTCATATCTTCATTTAATAGAGACGAAGAGAGAAAATCCCAAAAAAATCTGGAATAATGAATGTACCATCTCCTCGATCAACCTACAGACAGTATTGAATATTATTATTTTTCTCACTCTTCCATTTGACTATATACAGAACTGTTATTTTTACAAATCATTGAAGACAGAAATATTCATTGACTTTAAATTCATTTTCTGTATGGGAATTTATTTATCTGCTTCCTCTTATCTCTATAAATAACACAGTATTTGTCTGAACTGCCATCCTATTAACACTTTTTTTCTACGAATATTTTCCTCATTTACAGTTGCAACTGTAAATTAGGCAGAGAAAAGTAGATTGTTTTATTATTATTATTATTTTACTCGCAAATTCTGGTTTCGCTCAGCTTCGCTAGACGCTCCTACTCGCAAATGCAAAATACGATTGTCAAACAAAGTGTCACTTTTGATCCTAATAAAACAATCTATAATTTTATTACGCAGCAGACTTTCAAAATAAATCTTTCTAAAAAATAGTGAGTGCTATAATAACTAAACAAAAGTATCGTTTTCAAGTAAAAGTGATGATATTTTCATATTTCCTGGTTAAACTGCCGGAAATTGCATAGAAAAAAAGATTGGGGAAGAAATGCCCCTAGCCCCACCGATTCCCCACGCCCCTGATCAAAATTTCGAAAAATTTACAATTCCCTGAGGGTCAATTCTCATGCAAATGGTGAAAACCGCTATCGATATCTGTCTTCGTTTCGGAGTTACAAGGTGTTCTTCGGAAATGGGCATTTTTGAAAAGTACTTACAAATATTTTTTTTTGCAAAAAGTGTAAGTTCTCATGAAAATTACTGCAAAGCAATGAGTTAGTGATAACAATCATTCCTGATTCACTGAAATCGGCCTTTCCATATCTTGTTCAAGAATATAACTTGTTCTATACTTGAAGGAAAAGATCTATTTTGAAACTAGGTGTATGCGGTTACTGATTTCAGCGCCTGAGGATCCATTTTCATGACAAACACAATGCTCTGGAAATGTTTTTATGGAAAAGAAAGATTTTTGACAAAAAAAATTAGCTTCAGCAACTTTTCGAAAATTCATATTTTCGAAAAACATCTTGTAACTCTGAAACGATATCGATATGCAGTTTTCACCATTGAGTTTGTCATGTGGATTGATCAACAGGCATCAACATCAATTTTTTTCTATCTAGTACGGGAATAGGACTTTCCCTTCAAAATAGTCCAATTTGGCCCACCCTGTACAAAATTTAGTCGACCACGCACAGAGGGTTTCAGAAATATATACAAAAAACATCATCTTGGGCCCTCTCCAAGGAGCCATTTCTGGGCTCATGTTTATATATGAACTTTTTTCATTATTTTTGTTCCTAGAATCTGTGTTTGAAATCTTCCTATGTAATTTTGGGACACCCTGTATAGCCTACAATACGGTGCTGTGAATCTTATAGTGTTCTCATTTCCCAGAATTCCACAACTATGGTTGCAGTGTATTCAATAATGTATAAATCGACCAAGTTGATCTGCAGACCTGAAATAAAAGTATGCAATGAATAATAGATTCAAAAGGAAGAAGGAATGCTCAAAGTCATCCCCACTACTTTATTACTGATGTAAATCAATCAGGACTTGAAAAAGTCTTAATAAAGTAGTAGAGATGACTTTGAGCTTTCCTTCTTCCTTTTGAAAAATTTCACTCCACTTTGAGCCAACATGAACTTCTACCAGAGATTATTAGATTGATCGACATACTTGTAGGACGATCGATCATTTTCCGAACTGTTTTTCGTAATGATTATTACATTAGCACAAATCTAAAGAAGTCCACAAATAAAAAACGCATTCCAGCTTTTTGTGATTCTCGTACCAAGCTATCCTAGCAGGCATTGCTTTAATTTGGTTATTATGATCGGAAGGGCAGATGGGGTAGTGTGTGGGTGCGAGAATTAATCATAACTGACAACAGCTCGAATGGGTAATATAATAATAATAATAATAATAATAAATACGTTTATTATATACCCAAAACTAAATATACAAATGAATTCGATACGAACGGTATACATTTTGAGAGGGTAGATAAAAGGCTGTATGGTTCAGATATCAGAAGTTGAACTTCTGAGCCTGTTCTTCCACCAAAGCCATTTTAAGTTTTTTTCAATCGTTGAATGGTTACCAAGCTACAATAAATATGTCTAACTCTATAATTGAAGAAAAGTGAGGAGATGTCAAGAGAGAGAGAGAAGAGGAAGAGAGAGAGAGAGAGAGAGAGAGAGAGAGAGAGAGAGAGAGAGAGAGAGAGAAAGAAAGAGAGAGAGAGAGAGAGAGAGAGAGAGAGAGAGAGAGAGAGAGAGAGAGAGAGAGAGAGAAAAGTGATGAAAAAGATTGAATGTCATAAAGGCAGTAGAATGTATGAGTGCATCTAAGGTTGATTATTCTCGATTATTCTGCTTATCAAATAAATAGCATTTGAATTTGTTCTTGAAGGCATTCGGATTCATATCAAAACGGAAAAAGGTAAGTTTTATCAGATCATTCACGACGATAGCGATGTTATAAGAAAACGATCTCTTGAAAACTTCTTTGTGGTGGGAGGGTATGGTGAGGATATTTTGGCGTCGAATATTTAAATTGTGAACGTCGGTGCGATATCTCAATTTTTCGTGTAAGTAAGTTGGAATTTTGAGCTTCAATAGTTTGAAGCAAAAGCAAGCAAAATGTAATTTACGGCGGTTAATCATGTTGAGCCAATGACATTCATTTAGTTTGTGAGAAATTCTTTGACTGCGCCTTATACCAAATATTAGACGGAGGCATGAGTTTTGCAGTTTTTGTATACGTTTTATATCCACACTATCAAGACATGCTCCATAAACTACATCGCAGTGATCTAGATGAGACAAAACCAGAGATTCACATAATATTTTTTTCAAATCTCGATCTAGAGATAATCTATGACTATATATCATTTTCAGAGTACAATACGCTATCTGCAATTTTTTCGAGATGTGCTCTTTGAATTTCAGTTTACTGTCAATCATAAGACCCAGACTTTTACCATATTCAAGAAATGGAATTTCTTCATTGCCGATGTGCAATTGTATTGAATTAATTGCAAATTGTCTTGTGGTATCTTTGCTGAAAAGCAGTGCATACGACTTACTTGGATTTATTTTTAATGAATGATTATTAGATGTGATGAGTAAAGAATTCAGGTCATGATTAATTTGTTGAACAGACTCAAACAAATTATCACTTTTGAATGAGCAATATATTTGCGTGTCATCAGCATAAAAATGATATTTGCAATACTTGAAAGCATTTTGAAAATTAGCAGTGTACATAGTATATAATAAAGGCCCCAGAATACTTCCTTGTGGAACCCCTGTAGTCACTTTGATTGGAGAAGATATTTTTTCCCCAATTTTAACGTGCTGAAACCTGTCAGTTAAGGAAGATTCCAAGAAAATAGTTGCACTCTGCGTGAAACCAAAAAAATGTGATATTGAAATAAGAGTTCTGTGGTGTATCATATCGAAAGCTTTAGTATAGTCAAGTAAAATTAAGACGCTCATTTCATTTCGATCAGTAGCTCTCAATAAATCGTCAACAATATCGACAAGTGCTGTTGCGCAACTGTAACCGTGTCTAAACCCTGATTGCTTCATAGGTAAAATGTTATTATTACTTAAGTGTGACCTAATCTGGATTTCCATTATTTTTTCTAATATTTTTGAGAACGTAGGAAGTATATTTATGGATCGAAGATGATTGAATTCTATAGGTTTGTTAATTTTGGGTAAAGGAATAACACTAGCATACTTCCATGCTCTGGGAAAGTATGATTGAAGAATACACTGATTGACTATATGCGTAACAAAGGGAATAATGAAAGGACAGCACAAATGAATGATAGTTATATTGATATTATCGGTTCCAATTGCTTTAGATTTGATTCCCAGAATAATCTGAGTCACAGTTTCTTCATTAATAGATACGAACGAAAAAAAATCGTCGATGTTATCCTTCACATTTGAGGAGTAAAAATCATTGACATTGTCATTCACAGCCGGATGTTGACTGGAGAGACTAGCAAAAAACTTATTTGCTGCTTCCACATCATTCAAGTGAGGAGTAATATCATTTTTTTTATTTTTTGTAACATTGAGTTTTTTCAGTTCCTGCCACGATTCTCTCGAATTTGAGCTATTGAATTTATGGCGAAGGTATGCTTTTTTTTCGTTATGAATAGCAGTATTGGTAAAATTTCGTATTTGTTTATAGTACGACCAGTTTTCTGGTGTACGGGACTTCTTAAACTTATTGAGTGCCTTGCCACGTAGTTTTTGTAAAAGCTTTATATTATCAGTTATCCATGGGGCGTATGGCCTGTTTTTCGGAAAAAACGATACAATTGGCGCGTGAATATCAATTAGAAGATTTATATTATTGTTCAAGATTGCTATTTTTTCATCAATGTTTTCAGTTTCGTATATAGAGTTCCATACCATAGATTGCAGATCATTTTGAAAGGCTTCTAAATTAATACGATTGTAAGGTCGATAAGTTATTTTATTTTTAGGTATTTTTAGTTGTGAGAGAAAATCAAAAGTACACTTAATTAGCAAATGGTCTGAAATGTTTTTGTCAACCACCTGAGAATGACATTTATCTAAGCTTATATTAGTTAGAAATAAATCAAGTAGAGAGGCACTAGTATTGGTGATGCGAGTAGGTTCGTTTATTAGTTGATTCAAGCTGAATGCCTCGAAAATACCACTGAGCTCTATACAAGGATTCGAGTTGATGTTCAACATGTTTATGTTGAAATCACCAAAACACATTATTGAATCGTAATTTGGAAAAATCTCTGTTAAAGTATCCTCAAACATATTTAGAAAAGACTGATGACTGGAATTAGGAGGTCTATATACGACACCAATTGCAATTTTATTTTTTTGGAACATAACTTCAATCCAGATATACTCAATATACTCAGAACATTCGCTCAATAAAATGTTGAAATTAATGTTGTGCTTGATATACATACCAACCCCCCCCACCACGAGAAGGGCGGTCTTGGCGAATGAAATTGAACCCTTGGAGATTCACAAGATCGCTCGTTATGCCTCCATGTAGCCACGTTTCAGTTATTCCTATAATATCGTACTGTTCCGAGTTGACATGTTCCGTAAATGATTCGAAATTTGATACCAAAGATCTCACATTTATATGAGACACAGTGAAAGTCATCAACAAAATATGAAAAAATAAAAATGAAGGAATTGAAAATTTACCTGTCTTAGTGAAGAGTGATAGAGTGTGTGAGAGAGGAGAGAGAGAGAGAGAGAGGAGAGATAGGGAAAAAAAAAGAAAATAGAAATTGAGTTGAGGGATGAGAAAAGAGAAAAAATAGAATTTATACAAGATATTGATAATACAGGATATAACAAAATCGATTTACTGATAAAGTATTTACCTGCAACTATGTGACAAAACGCTACACTCTCATAATAAGAAGATAATACAAAGTTAATAAATGCTTGGGAAAAAAAAATTATTCAAATAGAACAATGTATCTGTGCCAAAATCATTAAAAAAAACCAAAATATTCAATATATTGTGCTACTTTAGTATTAGCTACATATGAGGAGGATACATGAAAACTTACAACTGAAATTCTCAGCTAAGAGAAAAAATGAACAAAGGTACATATTAACAAAAGTTATAAGATGAGAATCATAAAAAATCCCATTGGGGTTACCGAAAAATTATCACTCGTAAACTTAGTGAAAAGCTGAGGATGATAATAATAATAAGGTGCTGATCGATAATATATTCACAAACGAAACAATAATTGGAAAAATTAAATGCACCAAAATATATTCTCGAAGTTGAAACCTTCTATTGTTCTATACAGAGAGCAAAATAACAAAAATAGTTGATCATTTTTCACTGTTGTTTTCATCTAGGATTCTCTGAATGTCAGTTACATATCTAATTCGCTGTACTTTACCATTGTGTTTCACAAAAACATTTCCTTTGCGGCACCAAACGTCTTTTTTATTGAACACACTTGTAGCATTGCTCATGAGATTCAATCGCACCTTGGTAAGATCTTCATGTACCGAAATTCCAGTAGACTTGAAATATTTTCTGTTTTTCAAAACACTGTCACGCACTGAGTTGTCAACAAATCGAACCAAAACAGCTGGTGGCTTGGGATTCTCGGCATATAACATCGAGAAAATTCAAGGGGTGTTTCCTTGTGATACACGTGTCCTAGCTTGCTCTGTTCTTGAGATACAGGATGTTGAAGTTGAAAGTAATAATTGTTTTTATATATAACCCCCCTGTATAAGCTTCCATGGTGCCAAAATTCAGTAAAGATGGAGACTGAGGAAGCCTCAAAATTTCAAAATGATTCTAATTGGGATTATTGAGTAATCTCAATGGAAGTTTTGAAAACACCTACATTAAAATTTGGAGTCGAATCGAATTATAATTGTTTCCTCAAAAACAAGGCTAGATACAAAAATCACACAGAGAAAAAAAAAGTTGTTGATACAATAGTTGGATCTAATAAAAATATGAAACTCAGAAAAACCGGGGCGTACAATGACATTCATCATAAATATCTATAAATTTACCGACTGTGACACTACTGGAAATATTATTTCGAATCTAATTGCACTAGAAAAATCTCCATATTACTATTCACAAAACCACAACGTTTCATTGAAATTGATGAAAAGACAATTGAAAAGATTTTTCATGGAAACTTCAATACCCTGTACCTCGAAAACGAAGCAAGCTAGGACACATGTTTATATTAACTTTATTTCCTAAAATATCAAGAGGAATCATCCCTTGAATTTTCTCGGTGTTATTCAGTTACACCCTGAAGATCGATCATCCAACGGACAAGTCGATCAATATACAGGGTGTTTCACAGGTAAAGGGAAATATTTCAATGGAAGATAGGGGTCACCAAGGTGGTTCTGAAAATACCATATTTGATAGGTCACAGAGTCTTCATAACGGAGATACAGGGCGATTTATCGATTTCGAATAATTATTCATTCGTCTATATGTATTGACCCACCCAGTATATTTTTCTTAAATTTGGTAATGAGCTTATACTTGGGACCTTAAATTCATTCACCTATCGGGCAGAGTGAAAATCCAGGTTCGGCTTCAGGAAAAATGTTCATTTATTCGAAATATTAAAATAACACACTGTATTTAATAATTAACACAGTACATCGAAGGAAATGTGAAGAGGTGGAAAAACTGAATTGGGTTTGGTGCTTTTTATTTTCCCGCCACCAATTCTCATCGTAACAATCATAAACAGAAAGTTGAAAGTATGTCAATTTGAAGAGTATTGAAATTATGAAACCAGTGTCAATTATGATTATTCGATATATTTTAGTCAAAAAATAGCTCGAAAAAACTTACTAAGTCTCACAGTCTTTATAATGGAGATACAGGGTGAATTATCGGTTTTGAATAATTATTCACTCGTACTTGGGACGATGGATTCATCAACCTATCAGGCGGAATGGAAATAATACCAAATAATTATAATTCGATAATTCACCCTGTATCTCTGTTATACAGACTATGAGACTTTTCCTGAAGCTGAACCTGTATTTCCATTCTGCCTGATCGGTCAATGAATCCATCGTCCCAAGTAAGCTCAATACCAAATTTGAGAAAATATTACTGCGATGGGTAGTGAGTGAATAATTATTCGAAACCGATAATTCACCCTGTGTCTCTGTTATAAGGACTGTGAGACTTAGTAAGTTCTTTCGAACGATCATTTAACAAGAATATATCAAATAATCATAATTGAAAGTGGTTTCATTATTTTAATACTCTACAAACTGACATACTTTTAGCTTTCTGTTTATGATTGTTACGATGAGAATTGGTGGCAGGAAAACAGAAAGCATCAAATCCAGTTCAGTTTTTTCTCCTCTTCACGATTCCTTTGATGAACTCTGTCAATTATTACATAGAGTGTGTTATTTTACTATTTCGAATGAATGTAAATTTTTTCTGAAGCCGAACCACTTCGCCCGATAGGTGAATGAATTCAACATCCCAAGTATAAGCTCCATACCAAATATTAGAAAAATATACTGGATAGTTCAATACTTATAGAGGAATGAATAATTATTCGAAATCGATAAATCGCCCTGTATCTCCGTTATGAAGACTCCAAGACGTATCAAATATGGTATTTTCAGAACCACCTTGGTGACCCCTATCTACCATTGAAATATTTCCCTTTACCTGTGAAACACCCTATATTAATTATTTTTCGCTGCTGTCCTACATGATGATTATTATTAACATAGGATTTATTCCTATTTGTATACTATCTGTATACTCGACAAAAAAAATTAAAAGAGATATCATAGAAATCGCCGAATGGTTAGTGCAGCAGATAAGCAAGGTCAAAATAATTCATGATTGAGTATAAAATGAGGTTTCGATTAGGTTTTCGCCTGTGTATATTGTTTACAAGGGTATAGCCATAATAACAACCTAAGGTGATATAACTTTTGATGGAAGGTTCAAACAACAAGATCTAAATATTTATCGATTTATCTACAACACAAACTTACATTTAAGTATGCCATACGATCCATTTCGAATAATCCTCCAGCTGTCACTGAAATTCTACTCTGCGACCTCATCATTATTAAATTCATTTTTTTCTTGAAATCTTCTGTGTTCTCCTCCCATTGGCATTCATAGATAGCGTTATTCGATTCTTCAGACTAGAAAAATACCTTAGTTATGATCTTGATATTAGGTCATTATGTACAAGATAGAGAGAGAGAAAGATGATATGCTTTATTGTCTGAAGATGTAGAATCTTATTGACAAATGTAGTCGGTAGCTGGTACAATTATTGAAACACCCACTATTTCAACAAACTATATTCAAACAGCACTGGCACTTTCCGTACAACAATAATAACTATAATAATAATGATCTGCTCTCCGCAAACGTTAGCACCAGAATGACTCCAACAGTCACCTATGCATCATCCTTACATCACCATTACTCATCTTTTGTGGATGACCGTCCACATTCGACCATCCTGACGACACTCGTCCTCGAGGGTGTAGAGCGTTAGAGCCTGAAAACGAGAGAATGTGATGAGTTTTGGTCACTGGGTGAGGAGATACGATGGTTGTTTCGACAATTCGATGATATTCAGTCTCCTGCAAGTTCTGCGTTCTGTGCAATGTGATTGACACCTGATTAATCACTAGAATTATAATGCAGATAGGAGAAATGACTGGAAATGTCCTGCTGTTCTGTGCAATGTGATTGATACTTGATCAATCACTAGAATTATTATGCAGATAGGAGAAATGACTGGAAATGCCCTGCTGTTCTGTGCAATGTGATTGATACTTGATCAATCACTAGAATTATTATGCAGATATGAGATTTGATTAGAAACATCCTGCTGTTCTGTGCAATGTGATTGACACCTGATCAATCACTAGAATTTTTATGCAGATGTGATGTGTTACTGGAATTCACCTGCTGTTCTGTGCAATGTGATTGATACCTGATCAATCACTAGAATTTTGATGCAGATATGAGATGTGACTGGGAACATCCTGTAATTCTGTGCAATGTGAATGAAACTCACTAGAATTGAAAATTTTCAGTATAGTGATTATTTAAAGAATGCTCACTCTACTGTGCCTGAAACTCGAAGGATTTCATATGCTCCAGACCAACGACTGCTTCATATGGGCGTTGTGACCTAGAGGTGTGGAGATCTTCCTTGACTTTGTAACGGTCGTGTGGTAATACTTCGGTAACCCGAAAAGGACCTCTGTATTTGGGAAGTAGCTTTTTACTCTGATTGTTGTTAGCAGGAAAACTCGTGATCTTTGTCAGGACCAACTCGCCAACTTGAAATTTCTTAGATGGACCTCTCTTCTTATTGAAATCTTGGTCCTGTTTCAATCGATTCTGTTCTAGTTTCCTGGATACTTCGGTTCGCAATTTAGTGACATCGACGGTTGTCTCTTCATCGCTGATGTACCGGTCGCCATCGGTTCTGATTGGAAAACCAAAAAGTAGCTCAGCTGGGGTTGTTTGTGTGATCCTGTGATTTGTGCTGTTGATACCAAGTTGCACCTGATTGATGTTACTATCCCAGTTGTTGGTTGTGGTGCCTGCTCCCATCGTAGCTAGTGCGTCTTTCACTGTCCTGTTGGTTCTCTCGACTTGGCCGTTGCCTCTAGCCATACCGACGGCTGTTATGAACAGCCTAATGCCCCTCTTTTCGACATATTCTTTGAAATGATTCGATGTAAAAGCTTTTCCGGCATCAGAAACAATTCGTTTTGGATTGCCTAATATAGAGAATATCTCGTCTAATTTCGCCGTCACGAACTCGGCTGACGTGTCCGGGACGGCTTTTAAATAGGTAAATTTTGTGAACCCATCCACTATGACAAGAAGATATTTGTTACCTTGAAGGGTTTCGACAAATGGACCCAAATGATCAATATGTAAAGTGTGGTGAGGTCTTGCGTACTTTGGAATCGAATGAAGAGTACCTGGTTTTTTCCCACCTGGTAGCTTGTGATATAAGCAGTGTAAACATGAACCAATGTACTTTTTTATGAACCTCCTCATTTTAGGAAACCAATAGTTCCGCCTTATCCGTTCGAGAGTTTTATCGAATGCGAAATGACCCAGGTCATCGTGATTAGCTTTGACAATTTGCCATCGACACATTTTTGGAACTACCCACTTTCGTCCATTTTCAGTGATTTTGTAGACTTTATTCCCACGTAAATCATAATCTTTGAAAATAGCTCTATTATTTATCTGATCACCCGATAGAAGAATTTCCTTCAATTTTGATATGTTATTATCTCTACTTTGGGCCTCTCTTAGGTAATCGTCTTCAAAAATTACACAAACTTTTTGAATGGAGGCTTCAGTGTTACCAACTGTGTTTCTGCTCAGGGCATCCACATGTTGAATTTGTGCTCCTGATTTATGTTTTATACGAAAAGTGAAATCTTGTAGGTAAAGAATCCATCGAGCGATTCTTGGTACAATAGATTGCTTACTTAGCGCATTTTTCACCGAATTACAGTCTGTTATGATAGTGAATTCCTGACCTACCAGATAATATCTGAATTTTTCCAAAGTTCTAACTATAGCTAAAAGTTCAAGTTCGAATGAATGATAATTTTTTTCTTCTTCTGAAGTTTGTTTACTGTAATAGGCAACTGGCTTCTCTCCTCTATCTGTAATCTGTACAAGAATGCCGGCTAAACCCTCTCGACTCGCGTCAGTGTAGACGACTGTGTCCAATTTAGGGTTGAAAATAATGAGTATGGGGTCGGAAATAATCAAATTTTTCAATTTATCTACGATATGGGTTTCATCAGCCGTCCATTTCCATGTGACATCTTTCTTCAATAATTTTGTCAAACTAGAAGTGATTCTCGCGAAGTTAGGGATGAATTTTCTGAAATATCCTATGAGCCCAAGAAACTGTCTGAGTTGATGTACTGATTTTGGACAAGGAAACTTCTTTACTGCCTCTACTTTTGATTTGCTAGGTGTTAACTTGTTGAGGGAGATTTCATAGCCCAAATATGTTACTTCGGTCGTGAGGAATGATGATTTTGATATTTTGATGGTTAAGCCATATTCTTTGATTATACTGAGGACTTTTTTCAAAAGTTCGAGTCCTTCCTCAATTGATTTGGAAGGAATCAGAATATCGTCTAGGTATGGAATAATATTATACTTTCGCAAAGGTTGAAAAATTTCGTTCATCATTTTTTGAAAGAAAAACGGAGCATTACAGAGACCAAATGGGACCCGTAAATATTCGTAATGACCTTCGGGTGTAATGAAAGCTGTATACGGAATTGATTTTTCATCTAGTTGAATTTGATGGTAACCACATGCCAAATCCAGTGTGGTAAAATATTTGCAATCTGATAAACTATCAATGATTTCCTCAATGAGTGGCATAGGAAAATTATTTTTTATTGTTATTGAATTCAGGGAACGATAGTCTACTACCATGCGTTTTTCATCATTGCCTTTATCTACCATCAGAACAGGACTAGAATAAGGCGAATTACTTTCCCTTATGATGTTAGCACTCAACAGCTCATTTATTTTTGCCCGCAGTATTGACTTGTCTTTCTCTGTCAATCGGTAGGGTCGGCGAGACACTGGCTTTGAAGAAGTGAGTTGGATACTCATCGATACAGAATGTGCTTTCCCAAGTAGATTCATGGACTTGAAAAAACATTTTTCAAACTCTAAAAGAATATTTTCAAGAGATCTTTTATCTTTAGCATCAATGGAACCATACTGTGCCCCTTCGAAACGTTTCAAGGCTGCATTTCTGAATTGAAACGATAAAGTGTCATCTATACGAAAATATACTATACTTTGATGTTCTGTGAAATTTCTCCCTATCAACACCTCACTGTCCAACCTATTATCGTCGATAACATAGAGTTGTATTGTTAATTCAACGCCATCTATACTGACCAACGCTGTAATAAAATTATTGACTTCTGTCCCCATTCCCAAGAAGCCAGATAAGTGAACCGAACATTCGAGAATATCAATTTTGAAGTTCAATCTTTCAGCTAAGCTCCGGGAAATCAACGAGCAGTCACTGCCAAAATCGATGAAAGCATTGCATTTGAAATTATTGATAAGAATAGGTCTATCAAATTTGCCTGAATCAGATTTCTGTATACGTTTAACGTTCTCGGTTCGGTTGTGCCCGCTGATATCCCTCGACTTTTTAAAACAATTTTGCACTATATGACCCTCACGTTTACAGAATTCACACGTTTTGTTTCGATGTGTGCAATGTTTTCTTGAATGTCCTTGTGCACCACAAGCTTTACAACTGAGTTTATACCCAGTCGATTTATTGTCATTCCTTTTATATAATTCGTTGTTATTAGGTTTTGGAAATGAAGGATGTTTATGATTCACTGGTAGAATATTTTCAATTTTCTTTTGTTTCTGGTAAGTTCTATTTTTCAAAAAAGCAGCTAACAAATCAGGATTCTGAATACCAGCAGCCTCAATCGAAGATGTTAGATTATCATCATTTATGGCTCCAACTATTAATGATACTTTGTCATGATCAGAGAAATTTGCGCGTAATTTATTGATTTTTGACATATGTTCGGAATTCATAAAGGGAACATCCTTCTTTCGGTGTATGGTTGGCTATTTCCATGAACAATTGATGAGTGTTCCGTTTACTCTGAAACGTAGTACAAAGTATTTTTTTCCATTGATCCCAGGAAAATTTCGACCAGCCTAGTTCACTTTCGATAAAACTCAGATACCAAGTTCTAGCCGTACCTCTCAATTTATTCAAAGCTTGATAAACCAAAAAGCTATCTGTCCAGTTATACATTTTGGAATTATGTTCTAAAATTTCAATCCATTCTCCTATTTGTGATTTCAATGGATCAAAGTCCGGAATGACTGATGATATCTCGATATGACTATTTGGCAAAATATTTTTACCCGTATGACTAGAGCATGCAGCACTTACATCGTCTCGAGACCTCTTACTATGTCTACGACTGGGAGACTTACGATTGGAGTACCGTCTATTCTTATGCCTTATCGATCTATCCGAAGCCGAAGAAATTACCGATGGCGATCGGGAACGGGATCTCCTAGAATGTCTTCTTCTTTTGGAATGATTTGGCATCTTGCCTGGCGTTTTCGTTACACCCACTTCTGATGTAGTCGGTAGCTGGTACAATTATTGAAACACCCACTATTTCAACAAACTATATTCAAACAGCACTGGCACTTTCCGTACAACAATAATAACTATAATAATAATGATCTGCTCTCCGCAAACGTTAGCACCAGAATGACTCCAACAGTCACCTATGCATCATCCTTACATCACCATTACTCATCTTTTGTGGATGACCGTCCACACAAAGTAAGTAAAAGTAATAACCTCAAAAGAAATGAAAATGAAAACTAGAACTAGAGGAAATCGCTATTATAACACTACAACATTTCAAAATCTATTTGAAATTTAAACACTCTCATATATAAGCTAGTTAATAAGAGACACATTACTACATTGAAATATTCCTTTCGAAATTGAAATGAAAAATTCTTTTAAACTATTATTGGGTATTTCCGAAAAGAGTGTTTTTATTCTCTGAATTTTTTATTGGATCCAAGTTCTTTGATATCTTTTGGAAATGATTGAACATCTTATATATACAGCCTACATAAATTATTGAATCTCAACTAGAGCCGATGATGGAATTGGTAACTTGCAGGGGTAGTGTCAAATTTTCCTAAATGTTCTACAATTAAACAGACCGTTTCCATGACAAAGATCGCATAAACTGTTAAAAGTTTGTGTTTAATTAAAAGGGGTCTGCAGGTGTCACGAATCTTTGCTTTGCACATATATTTTCCTGCGCATTTTTGCAATATAAAAACTGATTTAATGAGATGATCATTAAACACCGGGCAGAATGAAATTCCATACCTTAAATGAGATTCAACTAAAGAGTGATAAACAACCTTAAAAGAAGAAAATCCTAGTTCATTTGATGTGACTGCTACTACATCACATCCAGAAGACAGTTTTTTGTTCAAAATTTCAACATGCTCATCAAATTTCAATCTGAAATCTATTTGAATGCCTAGAAATTTTGTATTGTCCCATGACTAGCTCGTCTAATTCACCTTTGAATGACATCATATTAGTTTTCGTCAAATTCATCACCAACTGATTTGGATCACATCATTTTTTAACCTCAGACATGTCCTCCTTGATATTATCAAGAAGTGTTTCGGCATTTTTATTATGCCAGAAAATACCTGTACCCTCCGCGAGACGCGTTATTTTTCCTGATATATTAGCTCTGGCCAAGTCATTTATTTAAAGTGAAAAAAGCTTTGGTCCAAGTATAGACCCCTGAGGCATACCACATCCTATAGTTGACTCATCGGAATATGTTGTCGTTTTCACAATTTGGCTTCGACCTGACAGATATGACTCTATCCATTTCTGAGACACCCCTGAATCCATAGTGGTAAAGCTTTCGCAACAGTATTCCGTGGTTTACATAGTCGAACGCCTTAGATAAGTCACAGAATACTGCTGCAGTAACCTCAACTCGATTATTTCTGTGTAAACGTCAAACAAAAAAGAAAAAATTGCATCATATTTGTATTTTTTCCAGCTTGAAAACCGAACTGAGCATTAGTGATTATCTTATTTTCAACTAAGAAAGTCGATAATCTAATTTTAACTAATCTTTCAATAATTTTCGCTATAATGTATAATAATGGAATGATAAAATGTCTAAGTCTAGTGAAAATCAATAATGAATGATGCGTTCCTAATTATCAGAAGTACCTACTCAATTTGCTAAAATATAACATTGTGTTTTTGAAAACCACATAATATTTTATCAATACAGTGTGTCCCACTTACCATGCTCACCATGGGTATCTTTTTAACGGTGAGAGATACGAGGTCGGTTAAATGACACCAAATGTGTAGTTTGTCAAGGCCAACTATAATGTGGAAGAATATTTCGATAAAATATTCGTTTTTGTTTTATACGCAAAAAACAGATTTTGATCATTTTCATGTTTCCTCCGTAACTTCTTTATTTATAAAAATATTCGAATAGGAATTTCTCATTCTCATGGCAGTTTTTCAAAGTGATTTCGAAAAAAATATAAAATTTTCACCAACTTTTCTAGAATTTGAGATATCAGCACCAACTTTAGTTTTTCAAATGTAGGTCAAAGCTCACTATGACTTAGTTACAAATAACTCATTTTTCTCTTACAGATGATATGTCGCAGTAATAGTTTTGTGTTGATAACAACGGAGTTATCGTCATTTATACAAAAACAAATAATTATTTGGAAGCCGCCATCTTGAATTTATCAATTTTAACAAAAAAATTATGATCTCCGACCTCAAAAAGCTCCACTTACCAATTTTGAATGGGATCGGACCAAATCTTGTCCGTCATCTTGGAGCAGCCATTTTTTTTAATTTCAACAAAAATTCCATAACTCCGATTGACTTGAAATTCGGCAGGTGTTCATAATTTCGGTGACAATACATTATGGAATTGTTGTTGAAATCAAAAAAAATTGCTGCTCCAAGATGGCGGACAAGATTTGGTCATAAATTCAAGATGGCGGCTTCCAAATAATTTTTTGTTTTTGTATAAATGACAATAACTCCGTTGTTATCAACACAAAACTATAACTGCTACATATCATTTGTAAGAGAAAAAAAAGTTACTCGTAACTAAGTCATAGTGAGCTATGACCTACATTTGAAAAACTGAAGTTGGTGATGATATCTCAAATTCTAGAAGAGTTGGTATAAATTTCATATTTTTTTCAAAATCACTTTGAAAAACTGCCATGAGAATATGAAATTCCTATTTGAGTATTTTCATAAATAAAGAAGTTACGGAGGAGACATGAAAATGATCAAAATCTGTTTTTTGCGTATGAAACAAAAACGAATAGATTTTATCAAAATATTTTTTCACATTATAGTTGGCCTTGACAAACTCCATATTTGGTGTCATTTAACCGACCGCGTATCTCTCACCGTTAAAAAGATATACCCATGGTGAGCATGGTAAGTGGGACACACTGTATAATGACCTGACAAAATTCAATATAGAAAAGTGTACTTATGTCATATCATATGTAGGTATATACATGCAACAAAAACAATAACTAAAGATACTTACCTAGGTATTTTATGCAATATGGAGAACCAAATTATATCATGTGCAAATTCTCGAACGCAAAAATAATCTAGTAGGAATAATTGAATAATGTAGTATGCCTATATCAGAGTGTTGTTTCAATGTGTAGGTCAGCAAACAACAAATCATTGGATTTTACACAATATACGATTCCTAAAACTTCGAATTTTGTCTGACTAACTATACTTCATATAAAGAAAATAAACTTCGTAATGCAATAGTTAATATGACTATGCAGGAATGAGCAAAATGACAAAGAACACTCTATATAGGTACTTATATCAATAACAAATATAGTAAGAGAGCAATGTAGGATGAATCCTCTATCACCTATTGACGTGTTTGTCGTTCCCCAATACCCAGTATATTGAGTATTCGAAAGCAAGAATTTATACCTCATCCTGGAGAAGGCTGACAGGAATACAGGAAAATGACAGTTGAGATATAACGGTAATAATGAATATTGCTCCTTTCACTCGAAATCTGACTTCTTGCCCTCTGAAACAATAGGTTCATGTTATTCTATAATTCAAAGCGCCATATAACGATTTCCAATACAATACTAAGCAAAACACCCGGAACCAAAAAATTCACAGAAATTGAGATTTTTGGCGCATTGGATGCTTGGCAACTAATACTTGATCCTTACTAAGCGAAAACCCGGTATTCGTATTGCAAATCAGTAATTTTGGCCATTTCAATTACCCGTATCTAGCCAAATAAAGGCACTCCTGCTAAGCAAAAACCACTTATCTACACAGTACTAACCCAGCAAACATTGAACATCTGGGAACATTGAACCAGTCTGGGAAAGTGACGATGTCGGGGTATTGGTGATTTACCGAGGATTTTCCTATGCTAAGTAACCATCAGTTAAAAATACGATGATGGCCTTGTAATGGTAAGATGGCTGGAACCAGTTGAACACTAACGAGTTTTGGCCCTTTGCTGGCCAATAACCTGCTCACAACTTGTCCCCCTGGTGGATGTTCTGGGAACGTGTACATCAACAATCAGCTGATCTTTTGGATTATTATTATATGTGACTCTAGCGTCTGTTTCGTTTATCTCTGGTTTGTTGTCGAATTATTATGCTCCTGACTTTCCCTGGTCGTTATTTATGATGGCAGGTGTATTCTCAATTGATATAATGTATAGAAGATGGATTCTTTAGTTATGATAATATTGAGTAAGTATAAATCTACCTATCTAGTTTTTCGAATTTCATCATGAAATGCATGTGTTTGGTATATCATAACCTCATATATACCTAGTGATTATAATATTTGGAGTGGCTCTATCTCTCCAGAAGCATAACTATCATGTTTAACTCATTCGTTGCTATCAAAAGTAATATCTTAGGTTATGTAAACCTGTCTTTTATAGAAGTGAATAACAATAAGGTTCCAACTAGAGAAATGACTGTGCCAAAAACATAATTAGAATTGAAAAGCTCCATATACAGTATTTCGTTTCTGATACTCCTATTGGTTTCAAGAAAGGCGACTGATTACTGATGAAGAATTCCATATCTCAGGAGTATCTACCCCGCATCGAAAAATTAATTTTGAAGAAATAATGCTATCCAAGTGACATGCAGATGTAGAAACTAGCTGGTAAGCAGTCACTGTGAGAAGTTTTATCATGAAAGGAGAAAGCGGTTAAGAAGATATCGTGTCATTCATATTTTCTTCTTGAAATCTGGTTTGTTTGATATGATATTATAAAATAGAGTTACTAGATCTTCCGTATCCATTGAACCCCTAGAACCACTACCCCCCTATCTCGATAGTATGTAACTAATATCGATAATTGGCCATTATATTCCCATCATTTATGTATGTGCTGGGCTTGCTATGGAAAACTCAATGTGTCGATTATGTTGTGATGGCTATTTGCCGGGAAACTGAATATGATTGCTGGGTACCCAGCACTGGGATCAGCAGCCAGCCGCAGTGTACTGATATACAGAGTGCCGCATATATGGGACCATTAACTGGGCCGCTGATGCCAGGTATGAGGAAAATATATTAGGTCATTATTAGCTGGGAAACGAGAACACCGCATCTGCATAATATGGTGTGTGCAGATACGTGGTCTTCGCTTAGCAACGATGTTTTAATTTATTACCGTATGCGAAATAAGTATGTACAATTCTAAGCAAAAACATCGCATTTTCTTTCTCATATTGAGTAACATATTTTATTATTTGTCAACCAGTTTTAACGATTCCAGATCGGAAACGAAGCTCTCACGCATAGATGTTCACATGAACTTAGGATCTTGAGAATATGTGTTCTTTAAGCTAAGTCCTGCTATGAAAAACTGACTCACCCTGTATATCTTGGCGATGTTTGTGGAGGAAAAATATATATTTTCACTTTTGCCACGAATATTTACACATTTTTTCAGTAAGGGAATAACACGCGATACTATATATAGTTCCTCCAATGAAAATCGCTATCCACACAGGTATAAGTACAGAGTAAGATTTAACTTAATATGCAACAAATGTTATTGATTTTATTTTTGTTTTTCGAAGAATTTATTGAAATTTTGATTTTATGAATCCGAGCAATATGAAAGAGTCAGATAAAATCAGAAAGATAAAAAGGTCTAAAATGTACTTTGAATGTTCAATCTGTAATTCATAATAATATCATGGATTTCATGAACTGGTCTTTGAGTTCTGTGTGTATTTCCACAGTGTTTTACTTGAAATAGGGAATCTCAAAAAATATATTAATCAAGAAAACTGTTCAGTCAACGCAATTGATAATTTCGAAATGATTTCGTAATAATTTCGAAATGATTAATGACCTGTTACCTAAAAGCAAAGATTATACACACAAAGTAACTCACTTGAAAAAAGTATAGACAAATTATAAGAGATTATCAATATTCGAGGGATAATCAGTAAGAAAATGTTTTCCATAGAATTGGATTCGACTAATTTTCGATATTTTCATATCTACTGGAGGAAGTGACAGACATTTTGAAAATTTGATTGAGTTAACGTCAAACTATGTCATTACCATGGTTACTCGATTTTTCAACAGTGACACTTCGTCGGGGCACTTATCAGTTGAATGTTTGTCTGATTGGCTGATAACTGGTCATACTTGGTCAGGAATACGAAGTATTTTAGGTTCACATTACATGGAAAAAATGTTCTGCATTATACTATTCGTAATTTGCCCTCATATCCCATAGCAATCAAGAATAACCCTGTATAAATACATTTCCGAAACTTACGAACTCGATATGGTGAGGAACTGCATGCTGACAACAATCATAGTATAGAAATATTGTACTAGAAAGTATCCGGTAAAGATTCTGTTTACTTTGTCGACAAATCTGCAAGAAAATGAAACGATTTCATATTCATTGAATGTAAATAAGGGCGAGTGGACTGATAATGAATTATTGGCAATCAATTACGCAACTGTGTCGTTAGAAACCAAAATCAATGGGCGTGTACACCTTAGTAGAACTTTTAACTCAAACTATGTTTATAATGATCCTTTTATACATGAATAATGATTGACGACATAATTCGATCGAAAAATGAACTGGAATGTTTTATTTTTCGACATAAATAATAGTACCTTCTGAGAACGGACCCTCTTATGACGTAGAAACCTCTCATCTCGCCATAGTTAAAAGAAAATACCAAACGCCCGACCACAGATTAACAAACCTTATTCAACTGTGATCTCGCGCTAATTCACTCTGTCAGAAATCATGTATCATTCATCTCTGTCTGGAATAGTCTTGTTTCAGTATTAGGGTTTTGACGTCACATCATCGCCTCGTTTTCAGAGGTCCGAAAATCGGGGATTTCAATAATTTTTTATAAAACGTAGGGAGCTCACATCAAGAAACGGTTTGCGGTGGTGAGCTAGTTTGGGTGAGTTCTATCGAATTATGAAATAAAATTTTTTGTGATAAGGTCATGGCAGCCATTTGGCGATACGTCGAATAAATGGTGATGTCAGTTTTTATGCTGTTTTTTCCCTAATAACACGGGATCTTGCTGGTACATCCCGCTAAGGTCCTACAAATGTCCCAATGTTTCAGACTTAGGTACGATATCCCAGAGATGTTTCTCTTGGGACATCCATCAGATGTTTTCATTGGATGTTCCAGAAACATCCCATTTGATCTTTTTTTATAAACAATATCATGGTTCCATATCTGCTAATGATGACTGACATGATTGAACAGTTCAAACAATTGTGACATTTGAAACATTGAAAAGTTGATGAAAAATGGAAATCAAAACTGTATTCGTACATATATACTTATACCCATACCAAAGCCGGCTAATTTCATCGATAACAAATTGAAATAATTATACTTAATATTCCTCAAGAAGATTACCAAAGTACCTGCTTAATTTCATGAAACATGTAATAAACGACAAAATCAAAATATATCTCTTCAGCATATTTATTGCTGAATTTATTTGTTATACCAGCCGATAGATGGCGGTACAACTACGTTGCTAAGAGTTACTAACAGCCGTCGGCCCAGCGCCAACAAATATATGAGCCTCAAACAACTGTTATCATCTTCCATTAGTTATTGGATCGCACCGACCTTATATTTTCGGATTCGAATTGTTACTTGATATCTGGAAATAGGTCGGCCATTTTCAGGATTCCAGATTGAAAATGATTCATACCGTGTCATCCATTACTGTCATCAAACAAAAAACATCCTATATAAAAGTTTCTTTGAAATGTTCCATATCAAGTACCCTGAATGTCTCTGGTACATCCCGTATCATCCCACAAACATTCTGATGGGATGTTTATAAGACATCGCAAATGCTGACACGGGTGTTGCCAGCAACATCCCAAGAATGTCCCAAGGAAAATAGGGATTTTCCAGAGATGTTCCTATCATCTCATATGCATGTTTCTACGACGTCTTATAGATGTTATTGTGTCATTAGGGTTAGTGGTCAGATAATCTTCCATTTCCACTCATGAAGCAAGGTTGTCAAGTCACCAATTATAATCAAGTTATCAAAGAGATGTTGGAGTCCTGTCGTTGAATAAAACATAATCGGAGGAACCCATGATATTATAGTTAACTCTTGACTTTTTTCAGCAACCAGCATGTCCGAATATTTCTTATTCTCCATAAAAAAATATCATGTAAATGTTGGAAACTTCGCAACATTGTGCTGAATCCTGAGAACTGACAAGACCACGTCCACAAGTCGTGCGCCATGTTGTCATGTTCACCGATTCAAATGTCCTCTAGTGTGAACTGTGAATTGATATAATTATTATTTACACAAATTTATTATAAGCAATGAGCCACGAATCGTAAGGGAACATTCCGGGACAATAGAATTTTTATTTATAATTAGGAATATTACCAATACTTAATTGATAATTTATGAATTATTGAATAACTAATATTTCTGAAGTTCCCAATCGCATTTCAAAACATGGCAACTGTATTATGGTCTGCCCCTACTCACG